GGGTACAGCGGATGCATTTGATACCAGCAGACTCCCTTTTCAGTCTGGCGAGACTGTTTCCTCTTAAAATAGAAACTATGCTCTGATCACTGAAGGCAGGAGCCACCTTATTCCAAATATCAATTCTCCATTGGATAAGCTCAACCTATGCAGCATTTCTTGACACGATCAACGACAGTAGCATTTTGCAACACAAAGTCCATTTATTCCCAATTTAGGTCATTAAGATGTCCCATCAACACAGCAAATTCCATCAGCTTCTCCAATCTCCACACAGATGGCTCCAGCACTTCAACAAAACATACTCTTTATTCTTGAGGATACCCCCAGGTGTTCTGGTGCTGAGAAATCATTTGGGTTACCACTGACAACAGATGTCAGCACATTGAAAAGCAAGCTAAGGACACTTGTTTATTTGTACATTCTTGCAGATGAAGCCCACCAATAATCTTACTTCCGTTGCCCTAATGACCTTCTTGGTAAGCTACAGCATAACCTATCTTTGAGTAGCTCATTACACCTCCCAGAACCAGGCCAGATAATATCAACAATCTCATCAAGTGGAGCCAAAATCAAACAAACATTCAGACTCATTTTCTCAACAATGAACTATCTTTCTATCCCGAATCACAATGTCAAGCTTGATAACTTCTTTACCTCAAAACTTTAAGAGATTGCTTGAAGACCAGCATTGCTTTCTCCCATTTCCTCATACAATGATAAATCACTCCATAACATCTCCATCACTTGCCTCTTCAGTTTTTGAAGGTTTATTTTGTATTCTCTTAGACTCTTTCTCAAGTAAACCCAATACTTAAAAATATGGTCTGTGATTTTCATTCCTTTCAAAATGTTAAAATACACTTTGACACCATTTAAAGAGTTTTTATTTTTAATTTATTCTTTCATAGAATATAAATGCTGCTGGCAGCACTTCTGAATCACCTTTGAATTGAGCAGCCAACTAAGAGATGAGTTAACCAGATCGCCTTGGAGGCCATTTTGTCATGGTCATCGTTACTGGGACTAACTGTACAGTCCAAATTTATTAATTGAATTTAAATTCCATCAGATGCCGCATTTTGATTTGAACCCATGCCCCCAGGGCATTAGCAGCGTTTCTATGCCAAGGACATTACCACCATAGCACTGTTTCTTCATGGAGTCCTGGTTACTGTTTCTCACTCAACCTATACCAGCAAAAACAAAAGATTAACTGTTTACCATAGGCATTTGTTTAACCCTTGTTTTGTTCAAGTTGGTACAAAATCAATGCATCTCGAAACAAGTTTTTTTTTAAAGAATCCTTAGGCTGTGGCCAGTGCTAGCAAGTCCAGCATTATCACCAATCCCTAGTTGGTCTCAAGGTGATGCTGGTGACCTGATACCCTCTGTCCCACTACTCTTGGGCAGGCATCCTCACAATTCACTGGGGAGGCAATGGCCTAGTGGTATTATTGCTGGACTGTTATGCCAGAGATCTCAGTAATGTTCTGGGGAGACAGGTTCGAGTCTTGCCATGGCAGATGATGGAATTTGAATTCAATTAAAACAAACAATCTGAATCATGTAATGATACACACAAATCCATTGTCAATTATCAAGAAAAACACATCGGGTTCACTGATGTCCTTTAGGGAAGAAAACTGTCATCCTTACCCGGTCTGGCCTACATATGACTGCAGATCCACAGAAACATGACTGACTCTTAACTGCCCTGTGGGCAATTAGGGACTAGCAATAATTACTGGCCTGGCCAACAACGCCCTGATCCCATGAATGAATTTTTAAAAATTCCAACATTTGGACCTAGTGATAAAGAAAGAGCAACTGTATATGAAACAGTTATGTTTATGAAGCATTGAGAAGTCGACGGGTGAGGTTCTAGATAAATGTGAATCTTTTGTCTAATTCACCCTACATTCATTTTTTTTTGTTGTTTGGACTATACCAACTGCTTATCTATCAACCATGCATCAGTCTTTGCACAAAATGTCAGCTGATTCTAAAAAGGCTAATGCTTGAAATTCCAACTCCCTATTCAAAATATGGCTGGATGGGTTGGTCTGGCAGAGGCACTAGTCTGAAGCTAAACATCTTAGGCAATTTTTGAGGTTTGTTCCCTTTGAAAACTTGTATATAGTAATACTTATCCAGCTAGATCTAGAACAATTAACGTCACCCATTATGCTGTATTAGAAAGCTAAGAACAGAACATTTGTCTCCTTTCTGCCATCTTAGCCAGGGTTGTAATAGCTATATATAATAAAACAAAGAACATGATGCCGGACAGCTAAAATGAACAAAAACA